TTTTATTATATTGCAGTAGTCTGTGTACTTCAGTGTACTGACAGTATCTTTTATTATATTGCAGTAGTCTGTGTACTTCAGTGTACTGACAGTATGATAACGCAGCTGTAGAGAAATCACTTTACGAGCAGTCCTGGTGTCGGACTCTTGATTTGCGGCGGCGTCTCGTCCCCGGCTCGTGTTCCGGTGACTCGTGATGAGGTGTGAAGTCGTCTGTGATCGTCCTGCGATTCATCTCCTGCGAAGAAGCTTTAAATCACAATATTTGCTCCTGCGTCGGCATCAGACTCCTCGTTAATGAATCCTCTAATGTCTTCCTCATCAATTCATACAGACCTCGTCCACGCCGTCGCAGCACATCATCGACGGGGACGGGGACGTGACCTCTGACCCCGGTGGATCTCCCGGTAGACCCCCCCCCTCCTCCTCCTGGGCTGAGTCAAGGGCACGCATGGATACCCCCCCCCCTCAGGGTCACTGGGACACGATCTCATTAATGGCGTCCTGATCTGCGAGTGCGATGCAGACATTAAATAGCAGTATTTTTCAATTAGCGCTGACAAATTCAATCAAAATTCCATAGATTAGGATGAAATGAGGCATGGGTCATTTACAAGGGAATTTAATTGCACGGCCATTAGACAAATAGTACAGCGGCCTCTGTCTCATTATCAATCATGCAGGGGCATCAATAGTAAAAGGTTGTAAGGCAGGGGGGGGGTGTGAGTGTATGTGTCCGTGCACGCTCCCCGTGCACGTTACAGCACTGCCACAACCGCAGAGCAGCTAATAAATACGCTCTTTTGTACTTATAAATTATCCAGTTTAATTAACAACATGGATTATGATTGGACTATGATTTAATTAAACCTCTCCTGCACGCAGGCCGAGCGCCGCCATCATCCATTATGAGCTGGGGGGGGGAGGGGTGGGGGGTGGGGGTGTGGGGGGGGCAGCTGGAGTGTAACACTGCTCTCAATGAAGCTTCCTGTAATAGAAGCTGCTTACCTGCTAGCATCATCATCGCTACAACACGCCGCCGTAATGGGCGTCTGAACGACTCGTTTACAGAAATAAACCAAGAAGCCCCCCCCCCCCCCCCCCCC